GGCGACGAGACGACGAGACGACGAGACGGGCAGGACAGGATGAGCGGAAGCGCAAATGGAAGGAGAGCATAAAAGGAAGCAAGATGGGAAATTGGCTGTTGCCGGTTCAATAAAAGCGCCACCGAGTTGGAGGTAGCCGCCGGTGGGGAATAAAAATGCCAAAATTAAAATAGGGAAAAGTGTTAAAAATCCGCTCGCAAGCTTCCGTAAGCATTGAAGGTTATGGAGGAGGAAGAAGGCGGGATTGGAGCAAAGTGACAAACAGGCAGGACAGAAATTGGAAATTGAAATGACAAATAAACCAAGAGTGAGGCATAAATGAACTCGTCCCAGACGGTCCATGAACAATGACAAGAAAGAGGTATCAGAAAATGGGATTTTGGTTCAACAAAATGGCGAATGGGAAGGAGCACCAAACAGAGCGTCAAGAGAGGAGGGGAGCTTGGGACCGGGTGCTTTCTGGGCGCCGACGAGGACAAGAGAAAGTGAAACTAGTGCCTTTGGAGAAGGAGGTTCAAACGAGTGGTGTGGGCCGAGAAGACGAAGCGAGACAGGAGCCAGTCTTGAAGTCTCTAAGATTTGGGATTGTCTCATCTGCCTGACGGCTTCGATGCAGCTCAAACCAACTAATAAGACCAACAATGCCGGAGGATAAGGCCTCTGGGAACAAAGCCGAATGGTTTTGTTCCAGAAATGATCCCCTAACTACTTGCCCTAGGGCGGCTAAGTTGATTTTAGGACGGACGCTGCAATTTTTCCCATCATCACTTGATTAGGCCTCATCGTCACGTTGCGGACTGCAGTTACGAAGTGTTTGCAAATGGAAGTTGGGTTTCGACAGTGTACTTCCATTTCGAGTGAAAGATGAAGAGATTCGCAGGCGGATTCCTCTTAACCTTTTGTCGATTGGCTTTACCGGAACGGTGAAAAGGTGCTATGATTTCGACTGTCGTATGACGAACATCATCAGAGCAAGCTATCATCGTCACAACCAAATTCAGGCTAACGAGTCTGGAAAACTCCGGAATCGAAGGAGATTGCCTCGGAAACAGCGTCAGCAGGAAGGTTCCCGTAAAGCTAATCGCCATCGTCTGCTGATGGAACCCAACACCTTCACTCGAAATGGAAGTAAGCTCAACAATCATGCAGTTACGAACCAACAATCCGGCCCTCTCGCAACTCCTATTTTAAAAGTGATCTGCTCCAAGCCCAACTTTTCTTCACAGTTCATAGTTAAGTAAACACATGTTTACGTTTAACATCGACGA